CTTGTCGGCCCCAACGGCCCCACTGGGGCTGGAAGCAATGGGAGGCTGAAGGACCTCGTCAGTTTCCTCCCGCAACACACTAAACCTTGACCCGTTGCCGGGCGCAGGTGTATTCCGCTTCTGTAGAGTCGTCATCCCCTTGTTTTCGCCAATTAGGACGTCTACCATTGGTTTTAGCCACCAACCACGGCCCATATAAACCTCTATTTTCGCCATCAAGGTTGGCCTCCCCAGTACTGGTACCGACTCCTTGTGTCGGTAGGGGTGAGCAACGGTGTGATTCGATGAAAAACGGGACCAATCGCAAAAAACTGAAAACCGAACCTAGAAAAAAAATAACCGATCCGAAACCAAACGACTTTTTTTTTACTCTAAAATAACCGGACCAAACCGCACTGCACCGAAATGCACGGTTCGGCTCGGTTTTCGGTTTTATCTCAGTTTTTCTATACCTGGAACAAAACCAAAAACCGAACTTGTGAAAAACTTTAACCGCACTGCAATGTAGGATAAAAACCGAACCGAAACGGAACCGAAATTTTTTTACATTAAAAAGCCGAACCGGACCGCACTGAACTGCTCGGTTCGGTTGTTCGGCTCGGTTTTGCTCACCCGTACTCGTCGGAAACAAGTCAACAACCGAGGAAATAATGTTACATCCAATAATCGACCCTTATCAGTTATCACATTATCTATTTGTCAAATTAATGTCTCTGAACTTTATTTTCAATGATATTTGAATTAAGAATGTAGTAATCAGTGAGGCATTCATCAGGGACTTACTGCATCAATTGCTATAAGTGTTTCACCAGCTCATTGGTTTTGTTTTCATTTTTTTTTTTTTATCCGAGTCGCTGACTCACATGATTGTCAAGCATAATAAATACGATGTATAGCATGCCTTCTCTTATCGTATGCTATTTAAATTTTCTTTTTTTTTTTCGTGCCCATAATTTCATTTCTAGTGGATAATCTTGAAAGCTCGACTCTTTACAGGCGCCTAAAGCCCGGAGGTGGAGGCGTAAATGCTGCCATCTTCAATGCTGCAGGCATTGAACTAGAAATCGCGACCAAGGAAAGGGCAGTTACCCTTAGTCCCGGTAAAGCCGTGGTTGTACCTCTCCCTTCATCTTCTCCATTGTTTGCTAAGGAAGGTACAACTCATGTCATACATGTTCTTGGGCCAAATATGAACCCGAATAGACCCGACTGCCTTAAAGATGACTATATCGAGGGATGCAAGCTTCTTCGTGAAGCATACTCGTCGCTTTTTGAAGGGTTTGTTTCCATATTGAAGTCTAATGGAGCCAAGATTGGAGGATCATCAGAATCTGGAGATTCTCGAGTGGTGCTCGTAACTAAAGATGATAAGAAAGTCGAAAGAGATGCCGTTTGCGAGCCCGAGAGGAGGAAAAAGTACAAGGGGTCCCAAGAGGAGTTCAAGTCTAGTGGCGGCGGCTCGATGGACGAGAAAAAGATCCAGGTTAGCAAGTCTTGGGGCTCGTGGGCTCAAGCTCTTTACAATGTGGCCATGCATCCGGACAAACACGAGAACATAATACTAGATTTGTCGGATGATGTCTTAGTGATAAATGATGCTTATCCAAAGGTCTGTCTCTCTCTCTCTCTCTCTCTCTCTCTCTCTCTCACACACACACACACACACACACACAAACACTGAAAATTACAACAAACTATGTGAAACAAGTCCATTTCTCCTACTGCAGGCACAGAAACATCTGTTGGTTCTTGCACGAGCTGATGGCCTCGACAGCATTGCAGATGTACGTGGAGAACATGTCTCGTTGTTGAAGAAGATGCACGACGTCGGCATGAAATGGGCTGAGAAGTTCCTCAATGAAGATGAATCATTGTTGTTCCGCCTCGGTTACCATTCGGTAATTTCTGTTCTAACCTCGGATACCCTATTTATTACCACTGTAATCTCCCATGTATCGAAAATTTTGCTAGGAAGTTCATACCTCATGGTGAAGAAAATGTGTGGTTTGTTTTGTGATGATATCTTTCTTTCTTTTTTTTTTCCAAAGCATGCTATCAGTTGCAAAATAGGTCGAACCTCTTCTAATCGGGTTATTATTATTAGGCGATAATGCATTTTTAGTCCTGTTGGTTTAACATCATAGCAGCTTTAGTCCCAAGATTTCAACTTTTCGCTTTTCGCCTTTTGATTCTGCGATTTAATATTTTGCTGCTTTTTTATTGATTAATTTAACGGCTTGTTGGTTGATTGATTGATTTAATATTTTGATGCAATTTCAGTCCTTTACTAAAATTGCAACAAATTTTGAAATTACAGGACTGAATTGCAACAAAAATTTAAAATTACAAACCTTAAATTGCTAATCGAAAATATGAGAATTTGGGAATTTGTTGCAATTTCAGTAAGAGTAAAATATTAAATTATATGATAAAAAAAGCAAAATGTTAGAACCTTGGGATTAAAACTGCAATGGCATTAAAAACTAAAAATGCAAATTTCACCTTAATAACCTATTTTTCTGTAATGAAAATTTTCAAATTCCGGTACAATGAAGTTCATATTTTTTTACTCCTTCAGGTCCCTTCGATGAGACAACTGCACCTTCACATCATTAGCCAGGATTTCGACTCCAATCATCTGAAGAACAAGAAACATTGGAACTCGTTCAACACTCCATTTTTCCTCGACTCAGTTAACGTGATAAAGGAAGCCGAAAGTACTGGGAAAGTTACACCAAAAGACGAAAAACTCCTGGCGATGGAGTTGAGGTGCCATAGGTGTAGAAGTGCACATCCAAACATACCCCGACTTAAATCGCACATCAAGTCCTGCCGGGCCCCATTTCCTGCTGTCTTACTCCAGAATGATTGTCTCGTTTCCTACAAAGGTACAACTTTCGGCAGCTAATTCTTGCAAATAATGTACTAGTTATTAATGGTCTCGTATCCTTTGACTTAGACTAACATATTACTTGTTTCGGTTTTGGCCGGCTTTTAGATTCTCGTTTTGTTTTTTGTCGTTTGGTGGGGAAATGTAGAGTTCTCTGAAATGTTTTGGGAACAAAGCACATTGAATTTGAACCTGGAACTTGGGTGTTCTCTGTTGTCAATTTATCACCAGCACTTGTAATGATAGGAGTTTGGCTACAAGTTGAAACTTGAGAGCATCTTCCTAATTTTCCAGTAATGATCAATTTTGAGTAGTTCCTCGGTCCCAATTTTTGGGCCAATTTTTTTTTTTTTAATTTTTTTTTTTTTTTTGGGCCAACTTCTAATAGGGTGATTTTGTTATTTTTTCTAATAGGGTGATTGGATATAAGTTATTTGGATTTTGTTAAATAACCATAGTTAATTTTAAAAAAGTTTATCGAGTTAAGTTTGAGCGGGAATTTGAGTTTCTATTAAAATGATATGTTAAAATATAATAATTAAAGATGATTTTAATGTAAAAGTAAGAGATATGTTATGTGAAGTGATGTAGGTAAAATTGTGTGAGTTGATGAATTGTGAATTAAAGTTAATTTGATGTGTGAGGGTGTATGATTGATATTATCTAGTTATATTCATAATATTGATAAGCGTTGAGTTGAATTAAATTTGTGTCGTATTTTGAGTTAAAAAAAAAAATTGGTCATAAGTGACCAATAACCAATCACGACCTTAGTCTCTTATTATTATTATTATTATTATTATTTTTATTATTCCAAAATGATAGACCACATTTATTGAGTCTATTTCACATGTACTTTTTTTTTTCCAAAGAAGATTGCAGTTCTAAACATAGATGCTTGTTATGTATATTTTTTATAATTCAATGTTAACTCAAAATTTAAAATATAAAATTATCGAATTTGGCACTACAGGAAATGAAATAAACAGATCTTTATGGGCATGACAAGAACAATTGTCGTTGTATCGTCCATCAATCACATGATTCACACGATAGCAGACAAAATAAAGGTCTCTATTTGGACCATTATCTGTGGCCACTGTTTTGACCTTTGTCTCCACATGCAATGCACGTAGACATGTTTTAATTCGTCCGATGATATTTGTAATCAATGACCAAATTTAGTGCCTAAAATCCTAGAAAATTCCAACTTCAAAACAATCCTAAGATTATATAGTGATTAAATAGTACTACCAACAAAAATAGTCGATCCCCTGTCGATCCAAAAACCGAAAAGTCCATGTACCAAATAAAAAGATAGTACTACCTCTCCTATTTTCTTTAAAAGTCATTTTAACATTATCAACTATTTACAAAATAAATGTCGTTTTGAATATTTTGTATAAATTTTTTTTATTATTATCCTCATCTAACTAATAAATACATTACATCTTTTTATATTCACTATTCATCTTTTCTCAAAATATTCATCTCTATCTTTATTGGTGAGGGTTATTGTTGACAAAAAAAATATTCTTAATTACTGTGCAACTTCTTACAACTAAGACTTATAAAAAATAGGAGAGAGTATTTGTATTTCCATCTTTGCATTATTAATTACACTGGCAAATGATGATGAATAATTATCGATATGGCTCATATTTTCACGTAATTATCATTGCATATTCATAGTCCATGAAGATCCAACCAACCCATGCATTTCCAAGATATAAGAAGCTAAGGAACAAAACAACAAGACTTGTAACAAGATTTTCTCCAATAATGCACAAAGCAGCTTAATAGAACTCCCATCGACAGTCGAAAACGCAAAATTAATGCAGAAAATACGCACAGAGGAAAGAAGAATGTGAATACTTTTTTGCAGCTTAAAAGAGTCTACTGAGGATCAGGCAAAAGAGTCTACTGAGGATTAGGCGGGCGGCTATTAGCTGCAGAGACCCTCGAACCCCACTCGAGAAGCTCTTTACTCGTATCATCCTTGTGAACAATCACCTCAATGAAGCACAAGCAGTCCTTTTTGTCTCCAGTAGCAGTTTCAATAGCCTCAATGAGCTCCTCTTCACACCAAACCTAAAAAATCGATCGATTGGTTGATTTACGTGGGTTAAAGATCCATATTCAAGCAGTAAAAACTAAAAAGTCGAGTGAAATCCACATTTTCACCTTCGTTGTCCAGCATTTGCCTTCGCCATTATGGAAAGCATCGACCAATGCAGTGTAGTTCCAGTTCTTGATCACGTTGTAAGGCCCGTCATGAATCTCAACCTCGATTGTGTAGCCACCATTGTTAATCAGGAAAATGATTGACTTCTGGCCAGATCTTATCATAGTCGACACATCTTGAGCCGTAACCTGTTTGCCATTACACAAATTTTCACCAAAAAAAAAAAAACCAATCACAAGAATAGCTACTTAGCTTCAATATCTTTCTTTATAACTCTAAAAAAAAAAAAGAAGATTTAGTTACGATTAGATATTGCCTTTCTATCTTCATTATGCTATAGATTTTTTACTCATACCTTGAATAACTGGAAGTTCTGATCCAATTCAAACCAAAATTTTGTGTCGCGATTACATAATCTATTTTTTGCAATTTCTAAGTGACTCGTGCATATACAAATCATGAGAATACCTACTTTTTGTTTTCTTGAATTTCTCGCTGATAGGTAAAGGATTAAATCCTTTTTAATAAATAAATCTTATAAAATACGACGAGAACAAAAAAAAAANNNAAGAAAACAATACATATTATGGGTTATACCTGAAAGCTACCATCCCCAATGCAAGCAATAACCCGCTTCTCGGGCACAGCCTGAGCATAGCCCAAAGTTGCACCAACTGACCATCCTATCGACCCGTATTGCATCTGAAACTCGTACCTAAAAAAAAACACAAAGTCACTACATAAAAAACACACAATCAACCGACAAAGAAAAAAAAAGTGAATATGTCAACTCGTGACTCGTGCTCACCCACAGCCAGCTGGCAGTTTGAGCTTCTGGCAGTTAAACCACGAATCACCCGTCTCGGCAATGACAGCTGTCTCCCCCGAAAGCATCTCCTGAATGTGCTGAAACAGCACATTCACCCTCAAAGCTTCTTTAGGCGCGGCCTTCACGGGCCGACCATCCGGAACATAAATCCTCAGGTAATTCTCGTGTGCAGTCGGGTTCGGGCTCAGCCTTTTCGCAAGGCTCGTTAAGAAATCCTTCATGAGTACGCACCCAAAGGCTGGCCCGTTACCAATAACCACACGATCGGGCTGCACGATGATGGCCTTTTCCTTCTTGAGGAGCAAAGAGTACCCGACCGAGCTGTAGTCGTTGAAAATGGGGCCCGCAAAAATGTACGCATCCGCAGATTCGACTATTTCAGCACAAAAAGCAGTGCTCACGGCACCCCAGTAAGTGCCGATGAAGTGAGGGTGGTGCTCGGGTACAAGACCTTTTGCCGAGGGCATGACTGCCAGCGGGTAACCGCAAGCATCTGCCAGCTGGACAAAGGCGTCGCAGGCCCGGGCCACGCGGAGTTTCGGCCCCCCGACGAGGACGGGCTTCACGGCCTTGTTGAGGAACTGGACGGCAGCCTCGACTGCGGCCTCCAGGCCCATTTGATTGGTCAGTCTAGAAACATACGGAGATGAACATCAAAATCAGCCTAATTAATGAAAGATTCCGAGAAAAAAAAAAAAATAGACCCATTTGATTGTAAAATGTAGAAACATAGAGGTAACCATCAAAATCAGCCTAATGAACAAGATTCCGAAATTTCGAAGAAGTCCACAAGAAATAGACTCATTTGATTGTTCAATGTAGAAACAGAAATAACCATTAACCATCAAAATCAGCATAATAAACAAGACACCAAAATTTTTGATAATTCACAAGAAATAGCTGGTTTCAATGTATAATCATAGAGATAACCATCAAAATCGCGTAATAATAAATAAGATTCCAGAATTTCAATTCACAAGAAATAGGCTCATTTGATTGTTCAATCTAGGAACACAGAGGTAGGCATCAAAATCAGCATAGGTAACCATCAAAATCAGCATAATGAAGTAAGATTCCAAAATTTTGAATAGTTCACAAGAAATTGATCTGAAACAGAGGAGGATGAGACTGAAGCATACTTTGGGGAGAGCGAAAACGGAACAGGCTCGCGACTAAACGTTGGGTGAGGGATGGCCGGCAAGTTACAGCTCACGCTAATGTACACCGGCTTGCTCTCCTTTAACGCCGTCGAAATTGCCGTGTCGATCAGCTCGTGCGCATCCTCCAGATTATTCACCACCGCCTAAAATCAACAAAAAAAACAGATAGGAAATTTAATTTCGGTACTATTTTTCAAGCCAAAATAAGCGAAAAAAAGAGTGTAATCTAGCGCGAATTGCAGTAAATTATTCACCAGTACTCACCACCGCCTTTATTCAACCAAAAAAAAAAAAAATCAAATGGGCGATTCAATTTCGGTACTATTTTCTAAGCCAAAATCAGCGAAAAAGAGTGTGATCTAGGGCAAATTTCTGTATACCTGATAGCAAGTGACGGTCTGAAAACAACGAAGCTCCTGGCTAAAATCCGGCAGCCCGATCGTGTGGTGCAAGATCCTGTTCGTGCCGTAGTCGTTGGAGTTTGGGCCGCCGACGATGCAGATGACGGGGAGATTCTCGCTGTACGCGCCGGCGATGGCGTTGAGAACGCTCAAACCGCCGACTGTGAACGTCACCGCGCACGCCCCGACGCCTCGCGCCCTGGCGTAGCCGTCGGCGGCGTAGCCGGCGTTCAGCTCGTTGCAGCAGCCGACGAGGTTGAGCCCCGGCTCAGCTATGAGGTGGTCGAGCAGCGTCAGGTTGAAGTCCCCGGGGACGGCGAACACGTCGCCGACGCCGATCTGGACCAGGCGGCGAGCGAGGTGGCGGCCGAGTGTGGCCTCGGCGGAGTTGAAGGCCACCGGGGAGGGGTGGACGGCGGCGACGGCGCCGTTCGAGGGGAGGCTGGCCAAGTCCGAACACGTGGCGGGCGTGCAGGAGTCCAGCGAGCCAACGTTGGTTTCCATTGCGAGATCAAAAAAAGACAATTCAAGAGCGACAGAGAAAGAGATTATTCTGATCAGATCAACGGTCGAGATTGATTTGGAAGTGAGTGTGTGTGTGGCAGAGTGAAATGGACGAGCGGATTTATATAGGGAACAAATTCCCTGAAAAACAGCGGCGAAAAAATTACTTGTGCCTGAGGAAAGTTTTCAAAGGCGGTGGACCGTGGTTTAAGATGTTTTTTATGGGATGAAATAACTGTAGATGTCTAACCGTTAGACAAGTTGATTAATTGTATTTTTTAAATAAAAATATTTATATTTAGGCCGAGATGAGTCGATTAGATGGGTCGATCTATTATACTTTGCCAGTGAAAGTGTATATCCAACCGACTCATTTTTCAACAAAATTAGATAGGTCGATCTATTATACTTTGTCAGTGAAAGTGTATATCCGACTTACTCATTTTTCAACAAAAATAAATATTTAGACGAATCGAATAATCGACGCATCATAAACTAATAAGCATCTAATAAACCAAGGCTTTGTTTATTTTATTTAGGTCCGTGAATCTGTGAACGCAGTTGATACAATGGGTCG